GGTCGTCGGGCCCCGGGCAGGCGAGGCGGCTCTTGCCCAACGGCCGCGCGTCTTCAAATAAAAAGAAGAAACAAAGAAAGACTTCATCTCACGATTCTGTCTTTTTTAATTTACTTTTTATTTCTAATAACGGCTTGCTCTGTGCTGGTGGTGTCCTAGCGCAGACTCCCGCGTGGGGCCTTAGCCCTTTTCGCCTTATCTCCCTCGTGTCTGCGCGCCGCCCCTCAGAGTTCGGCTGCCTGCCCGTCGGCTGTGCGAAACTGATAGGTCGGGCAATTTTTTTTCCTCGACTGCTGTAGATATGTCAGTAACTCTATTATTATTGTTGTTGTTGTTGTTATTATAATTTTCATTAGGTGGGTATTTTGGATGGCAAACCTTGGGGTTTGAGCTACTCACAGTGCAGTGTGTAACATAGATTTTGCTCTCCCCCGAGGGTTCAGTCAGATGTGGATCAGTCAACTGAAATTCTTCAAGTCTCAGTGCAGGTGCTTATTTTCTAGCGGAATTGCTTCACTTTTAGGAGTTTCATGTAAGAACTTGGGAATATTCGCCTCAAAATGTGGCTTCAATGTGAATGTAGTACTTCATCAGTATTTCACACACTGAGGTTATGGCCCAGGCAAAGTTAAATTGCTATTTTTGCAGGAATAAATACTTAAGAATGCATAGTCTGTACCTATGCTCATGTCAAGTGGCCATAACATGCTGTTTACCTCCCACTCGCATCACTGTTTCTCATTCTTATTGAATATGGCATTTTGAACACTTGACTAACTTTATTGGTCTTAATCCACGTCCAATGTAGTTTGCATTACTTTTTCTATGTACTATCCTAGGGATGTGATTTTATTATTTTTTTTTTATCTTTCAAAATTGCACATGTATTCATGAATAGCAAATTGATGAACTGTGTTATCTGAGACTCTAGTCTTGGGATTTTAAAAGAGCCAAATACCAATTCCAGGTAAATGTTCCTGACATTTCAGCATGGACACTTTGGAAAATTGCCGCCTCAAAGATATAGAAAATACAAGCAAAAGTAGGGCTCTGACATAGAAAATAAGCAGAAAACAAAACTTGTTAGTGAAAAAATGTGCCCTATGACAGTGATTTTTTTAAATTTTTTTTTTTAAATCTGTGGACAGATATCGTCAGATATTGGAAAAAGCCATTCAGCTGCCGGGTGCAGAACAACTTGAAGCTTTGAAAGCTTTTGTAGAAGCAAGTAAGTGCATCTGGTACAATCGGTTGCACATTGAGTGAAGAAGGCCAGAGGTCTGTGGGATTGCATATTTGTTAACTCTACCTGAAGCTACATAAATACATAATATTTTGGTCCTACTGGAACTCAAACACAAGTAGAAGAGGAACCATCATCACCACATTCAGAAGTTAAGGGCAAATGGACTTGTAAGCTTTGTAAGTTATAACTTTTCAACCTGTTGGTGTGACAGTGTTGGAAGGTAAAAACATAAAGTAGTCTCTGTTGAATGCTGAAATTGATACTGGATTCCAGGCGGTATTTAAACTAACAACCTCATTCTTCCTCTGTGTCAAGTTAGTTTGAAAAACTGTCAAGAAGAAATGGTTAGGATTTTTTTTTTGGTGTTGTGCTGGACGTTTGGCTTATTGAATACATCTATAAAGTATACCTGTTGTAATTTTTTTTAAGTTGAGAATAAACCTAGTGAAATTTAGCATAAAGGTTTACTCTGTCCAAGATGTTTCAGCAACTGACAACAGTGATTCAGAATGAAACATCTCTCTAAACTATAAATCTAAGTGAGAAATTCATTATTATTTGTCAGGGGTTAGAACTCTGGTGACTTCTAGTGCAAACAAACTGTTTCTGAGAAAAAAAATCACCTTTTAAAAACAAAGAAAAAAACCCCCATCACTTGGATACAGATTTAAAAACTTGAAATATTCGAATTTAATATAAAATCAAGTTATCACAGTGAAGGCACTGACAAGTGTTGCATCCATCTTATATTTTTTTTCTTCCATGTGTCTCTGAACCAGTGGTGAATGAGAATGTCAGTCTAGTGATCTCACGTCAGTTACTGACAGATTTCTGTACCCATCTTCCGAGTCTTCCTGACAGCACGGCCAAAGAAATTTACCACTTCACCTTGGAAAAGATACAGCCTAGAGTTATTTCATTTGAAGAGCAGGTGAGAGATCAATGGCAAGGGGTTTTTGATTTGCAGGCTTGGCTTTGGGTTTTTTCCCCTTATCTGCTGACTATTTTAAGCCTCTAAAAAAGCTATTCAAAACAGATATTCCTACTTAGACTCCCATTTTGCATTCCTGTACATGCAAAACCTGAGCTTAGGACCATGCAAAGAATACAGACTTTGTCTCTTTGTCAGGATGCTGGGCATGTAATTCCTCTGCTACCAGAAAACGGCTTCTTACAATGAAAGAATACTTGAGCTACTGGAGTTACTGTTAAGAGACACTGGTAGTCGTTGTATTGCATTTTACCCAACTAATGGAACAGGCAGGTGATTTAAAGAGAGAAGCATCTTGACAAATAGTTTTTGTTTCAAAATAAATATCTCTGTGTATTTGTGTATTTTAGCCATAATCATTTCACCATGAAAACAATGTTTTCTTGAAAACCCAATTCTAGTTAACTACTGAAAGTGCTGCGGTTCTTTTTCAGTTCTTTGTTTTGTTGTATGAGTATTCACCATCATCTGAGAGTTCTTACAGATGTTTATATAAAAAGCGTTTAGAATCTAGTATTTGAGAAGCAAGGCAGTTTCTGTCATGATTTGTATTTGCTCGTCTTTGTCTCTTGTCTTTTTAAGCTGGTTTTACTCCAAGTCCTAACTGAACATGCTCGTCTATATGTTATTATGATTATGTATAAATTAAATCCAAGACATCAGATGGTTTATTTTTTTTAGCCGCACTTCTGCTTATAAACCCCAGATTGTAAACACTGATATTTTAGCTGTTGACAGCTGCTCTACAAAGTAGAAGTTCCTGCATTTATATCTCACAGGCATGATATGAGTTATAACTGCAAGAAATGGCTTGTGAGTCTTGGTGCTCTAGTTCTTAAAGCCTCATTTCATCTTTTAAAAAGCTTTATAAAACATTTACTTCTCACTCCCTGAAGATAAATTCCTTTTATCTTGTCACAAGCTTAAGTGGAAACGCTTCAAATCAGCACTCATATTTAAAAACCTTGGTATTAAAGCTTGATCCAGGAGTCCAATGCAGGACTCCTGACATGGTTGCATGCATGCACGTTGCTGTATCTTTGAAGCTGAGGGGATTCACGAACAAGAACAAATACTGTGAAAGTTAATACAGAACCATTCAACTTCTATAGCATTTGCTATTGATTTTATTATTGTTTAGGTCGCTTCAATAAGGCAACATCTTGCATCAATCTATGAGAAAGAAGAAGACTGGAGAAATGCAGCACAAGTATTGGTGGGGATCCCTTTGGAAACAGGGCAAAAGTAAGTACTGTGCTAGTCATAGTACATGTTGTTCAATATACTTGCTCCTTTTGTACTTAACTAGACCAGTGAGTGAGAATTTTGGGGTTGCATATTTTCCTAGAGTTTCAGTAGTTCAGGCCAAACTCTTGCCAGATGACAAAAGTATAGCTTGATGACTATACATCACATTATACATTACAGTATTTTGGTGAGTCAGAATACTGTGCCAGAAGTTTTGCACTATTTATTAGTCTTGTTGATAAAAAGCCTTTTTGACAGTATTTTACAAAAATGCTTCTATGGTTATTGAAAGGTGTTTGAAAAGTGGCAGTTCTTCCGTGTGTTTGCCTTTACAGTTCAAAATGCAGACATCGTTTGAAATTGGGTATTAACAAATGCAGTTGAGGTTTTTTGTGTGTTGTTTTTATTTTTCTAAGCCTAGAACCCTTGCTGTTACTTTTCTCTGTCTGTCCTTCCTATCTTCTTTCTCTGTATGCACGTAGAAGGAATTGCTGTAGGTTTTGCCTGTTTAGCACCTATTTGTTCCAATGCAAGTTTGCTTCTTAACCCAAGTGGCTCACCACTTACAGCAAACTTAAAATCCACTAAAAACAGATTATTTGAGTGTATATTTGTGTCTTGGTGGACAGCGTTATTTCTACTGGTGTTTGTAGGAGCCAGTTCTATATTAGTATTCATCTCAAATTTCCTTACCCTGAGCAGGGAGCACTAATTTTGGTGTTAGGGAAGAAGAAAAGAGGGTAAAGCAAACATTGCCAAGTGCTTAAGAATCTAATATATGTTTAGAACAGCTAAGAGCAAGGGTGGTTGTGGAGTAACTCTGAGTACTTCCTTTTCTCTTTCTCTACAGACAATACAATGTAGATTATAAACTGGAGACCTACCTGAAAATTGCCAGGCTATATCTGGAGGATGATGACCCAGTTCAAGCAGAAGCTTATATTAATCGAGCTTCCCTGCTTCAGAACGAATCAACTAACGAACAGCTGCAAATCCATTATAAGGTTCTGTAGCTTGCTTTATTGCTTTGTCTTTCTAGAGGGAGATGATTCCACATTGAGATGTTTTTATGCAATGACACTAAAACTTTCATAATGAGAAAAAATGCAAAGGGAAAAGTTTCTAAATGGTTTTGGGAGCTTGTGAGCTACATCTTAGCAATAATTAAACAGCTCATTCCTTATGATTTGGAGATAAGTCTGTAAAGGTTCCTTAAATGCCAGCTTTACTGATTGAAAATAAAACTTAGGCTTCAGAACATCTGAAATATTGTTGATACTGCCTCCACCTTTGTCTGTAAATCTAAGAGGGGAAAAAAAATCATGTCCAGTATTAGGGACAACAGAGGACCCCTCCACCCCCAACAGTAATTAAATAGTAAGTCCCATCCATAAAAGTAGCTTTCAGTCTCAATTGGTGAAGTAAGTGCTTGCCTTCTGCTTATTTGTGGGTTAACTGCATACATAGTTCATACACTAATTTCTCAAACCATTTTAGTAACTGGGAAGAGCAGTGAGTGATAACTATAGTGTGACAGTACCAATCAAGTGTTTAAAATTCTGCAGCACAAAGCAGATGTGCCATGAGCTTTAACTCAGGGTGTGGTGGTTTTAGTTTGTTGGTTTTCCCTTTTTTTCTCCCTGCATGCTGTGTTTTGTGCACTCCTTTGGAAGTGTAAATATTTTCTGTAAGCATTAGAAAAACACAAAGGAAGGGAGATGAGAAATACCAGATGCTGTTACAGCCCTGAAAGGGGAAAGCAAACACTTGAAACATGTAAATTGCTACCTAAGTGGTAGCTGTCAATGTCAGTAGTGAAGGGGAGGCTTATATAAGTACAATAACGCTGTACAATATTTTGTTTACTTAGTTTCTGGCATTCAGATATTTGCAGTGTTTAACATGTGAATAGTGCTGGGAAATGCCCTTTCAGTTGCTTTGCACGTATACTTAAGCAACGGCTTTACAAGTCAAGCTAATCGTTCAAAGACATAGATTTCCCTAGGAAACAGTACAACAATATTTATGAGAGCTGTCATGTAGCAATTTATACACACTTACATTATGCAGCCACCCCTGTTAGTTTTCTTTTTCTGAGACGTACTTTCCTTCTAGGTTTGCTATGCTCGAGTTCTTGATTACAGAAGAAAGTTCATTGAGGCTGCCCAAAGATACAATGAGCTCTCCTATAAGAGCATAGTCCATGAAACTGAGCGACTGGAGGCATTGAAGCATGCTTTGCATTGTACTATTTTGGCATCAGCAGGTAAAATACACCTTTTGGTATAAAAGACGCAACATAGGTATTTCATATCCCCTGAAGCAAGTCAGCTTGTACATTACTTGTGGGGAGCAATCTTGTCACTAAGATCTGGTGAGGAATCTGAAATAGTGAACATGGTGTCAAAATTACCTGTTGGCATACTGTTAACTCAGAGTTGGTTTACTTCCATGTCTTTGCCAGTGATACGGTGGCATCTTGGCTAAAGATGCAAAAGATGGTCAGTGGCAAACAGTGTTTTGGAACGGAACACAATTGAGTTCCTTCTTTAGTAGAGCTTTGTTGGTTAATTGCATATATTGAGAAAAAAGATGATAACTTTCTGTTGTTTACCTCTAAATACTCAATGCTTTGGTGATCATTTATGAGGATTCTTCGTGACTCTCCTAGGACAGCAGCGTTCTCGCATGCTTGCTACACTGTTCAAGGATGAGAGATGCCAACAACTTGCAGCCTATGGGATCTTGGAGAAAATGTATCTCGACAGAATTATCCGTGGAAATCAACTGCAAGAGTTTGCAGCTATGCTAATGCCTCACCAGAAAGCAACTACAGCCGATGGTACGTTTTTCTCTAAATCCTTATAATGCTAGGTGTTCATCCACAGGAGTTGGATTTCTTGACAATGCAGTCAAGAAGAGTGATGGAAAAGAATTTACTATTGCTTATATGATTATTTTAAAATTATTTCCCAGCATGTTACCGTCATGAGTAAAGCTTCTTTACTATTAAAGCTTCTTAGCTGCAGTTCATCTTTCGCATTGTCTATTTAAGGTTTTGAAATACTCTTCTAGAAGATAACTTGTAAAAATCTTGTTTCTCTGTCCATGTACCGTCCTCTTCACTGACAACATCCCAGTATTTCTAACCTTGCCTCATACTTTGAGTCTCTGTCCTTTTGAGCTTCTCCAGTTCTAAGGCACTGTTATAAATAGGATGCCTAGAAACACGTGATGTGCATGTAGGCTGTAAATGGTCTGTGTGGATGATAAATTTATTTGAACTGCTTCCTGACTTGACGGGAAGACGACAAATAGTGAGGGGATGACTTGGACCTCACACTGTCTCCAAATTGTTTTCTGATCTGTCTCACTGACGTCTTACTAGCTCTGTTCTTCCTGGAACCTCTGAACAGTGAGAAATAACATGAATTAATGACTACGCTGGAATCCTAAACACACTGGTCTTAATTTCCTAAATTAGAAGAATATTGAAGTAAAAAAATACATAAGCATGAAATACCTCTTAATCCAGAAAAACTTCCTGATGAACAATACTTGATTAAGGACAAATAAACAACTGTGTTATTGCAGAGTTGAAAACTGGTTAAAGGTACTTAATAAGCTACAGACCTTTCCTTGGGTCAATTTGTTGTTTATTTATAACTTGTACTGTTTGTCCATATAAGGTAAAGAGTGCAGGTTAGTTGGTATTTAATAATGTGCTTATTTTCAAGTAGAGGTTAAGGGGAAAATGAGTTGAATTGTTAAATCAAGAAGAGAGAAATTAGATGAGAGTTTATCACCATACAAGCACAGTAAGAGAGAGGTTAATTGTACTCCTAAGAGCTGTAATGAATTAAGAAAAAAAAAAAAAGCAATGGTCTTTCCATTTGGCAAGCTAGAAACTGATCACAGGAGGTCAAACTCCCTCAATTCAGATGTTGAGTCTTGTAGCAAAATCAAGGGCTCCACTTGATTATTCTAGAAATCAAATAAAAGAGTTTAAGCTAGCTGTCTTAAAACTAACCACATGCCATCCATTTCTTTTTGTTCACTTTCTTCTGCATAGCATAATGTTGATGCAAGGCAGATGCATCTTGACCTTCTGCATACATAATCCTTGGGGGGAAAAAAGCATTTTCCATCTGCTTTACAATATAAACCAAGTATTTCAATCTTATAATAATGGATTTTTTTTTTTCTCATCTAACCCCTAAGGATCCAGTATCCTGGACAGAGCTGTTATTGAGCACAACTTACTATCTGCGAGCAAACTTTACAACAACATTACTTTTGAAGAGCTTGGAGCATTACTAGAGATCCCTGCAGCTAAGGTATCAGTTTTCTACATCTTTTGTGAAAACAAGGAGCATCAAAGACATGAGATAATAGCTGTGGTAAATATTAGGAAAATTAGTTCAATATTACAAAATAATTAAATATTCCATATTATGAGGAAGGTTAAATATCTAGCACATCTTATGAGAAGAAAGGGTACATGATGTTAAATGAACAATAGTGGAGTTAGATGCCACTGATAGTATGTCTAATCATTTCTGTCGTGGTTTAGGCCAAATCAGCTACTGGGGACATGGGGGACCCAAGGTGGGACCAACAGATGCTCCTGTCATTGGTCCTGTTTCACCTCAAACCAGGACAATTTCATAATTAGTGTTGCCTGTACGATTCCCCCCCTCCATGTGTGGAGATGTTGAAAAACCCATAAAGACTATGAATTCTTAATTTTTAACTTCTTTCAGAATGGTAGAAGTTTCTAACATCTTTCTCTTCATTATTTCAGGCAGAAAAGATAGCTTCTCAGATGATAACAGAGGGTCGCATGAATGGATTCATTGATCAGATTGACGGAATTGTTCATTTTGAGAGTAAGTTCAACCACAGTAATTTATTTATTTTAGCACCATTCTGAGTGACCTTTTTGAGTTGCTGCCTTACAGGATAAGGAAATTAACTTTTATCTTCCATCTGAAGTGAGCTCGCTGTGTCTTGCTGTGGCCAGGAGGTGGCAGACTTTCCCTTAATGGAGGATCACACTTTACGCAGCCTCCCTACTATGCATTCTCTTACCCACAGGAAAGTGTGAATCTATTTCATCGGTCTCCTTGTAGGAACAGGTTCACCAGGAAGTTCTCTGTTCAATTCTACTTTGCAATGCAGGAGTTAGGCTTGTAACAGACAGCCAAAATCATTGTAGCTTTTAAATACAGAAATGAGCGTGATGTAGCTGCAAGGAAGGCTTCTGTGAGGTAGGTGAGGGCAATGGCAGAAGAAAAGGTTGGAGTTGAAAAAGCAAGGGAATTGCTAAGACTTACATTGTTTTGTATGGGTTGTTTTTTGTTTGTTTTTTTTTTCCAGCTCGTGAAGCTTTACCAACTTGGGACAAGCAGATTCAGTCACTGTGCTTCCAGGTTAACAACCTGCTGGAGAAGATAAGTCAGACAGCCCCAGAATGGACAGCACAGGCAATGGAAGCCCAGATGGCTCAGTGATTGTGCACCCATTGTCTGAATGGAGGCAATCAACTACTTGCTGTGCTGGAAGAAGGGAGCTGAGTAGGACTGTGAACCACCTTCATTTCCCCAGCTTCTGCTTTCAGTCTGGCTTAGGACACAATTAGGTGATACCATGTTTGGTGTGACAGTCCCCCAGTTCTCTGAGCATAGAATGGTGCTGTCGCTGCCTCTGCATGGCACTCTGCTGTCCTGAAAGTTGTGGTTTCCATGCAGAAGCAGCTGTAATGTCTGCAGCAAGCTTTGGGTTTGGTTTATTTAATTTTGGGGGTTTTTTTTCCACTGTATTACTATAGCTTTGTAGCCCATTACTTCCTAGGATGCTTGTTCTGCTGTGAAAATATAAGTGCCATGTTTATTTTAGTTGTAATTATTCTAATAAAGGCTGGAATGGGCCACATGGTGCAAGTGTTGCGGGGACATGGGCTTTTTTTCTTAAGCAGTAACTCGAAATAAGTTGAATTTTTGAAATTGTCAGTTTCAGCCCCTGAAAATGTTAAATGAAAAACAGCTTTTTTTCCGTCTCTGTTTATAAACCACATGTCTAAAATCTTAACTGAAGGAAATACTGACCCTTGTCCTGCATTGGTACAGCAGGGCACAGAGTTATCTGTGCTGAGAGATGGGGTGAAGACCAGTGTTCCCAAGAGAGCTTTGTTGCAGTGACATGGTACGTGATGAGAACATAGCACGTGCCAAGGAGGGTAAGCCAAGCATGCTCTTTGTTTATTTTCTAGGTTAGCATGAATTGGTAATTTTACAAAGGTATCCATAGTGGGTTTTTTTTTTTGAAACTGGAGGTGTAACGAGACTCTAACAGGTAGGGATTTTGCACTACAAAAGATTAAACACCTTCTGAAACTGGAGTGGCTGGAGAATGCTGCGCGGATTACTTACGTAATGAGATGAAACAACTTGGTAAAGATGTCATGATAAGCAGGACTAACTTGAAATGCTGATGCACAGCAATGAAGTATCAAAGTGGCCCTTCTGATGTTTATCAGTCTGGAGTTGTGCACTCTTGACCCATCATTTTAGTCTGCCAGATATATGAATCTTATTGTGTGATTTGCTGCAGAGGTTTTCACAGAGAGCTCTCTGGTAATGGAGAGCCAAAGCAGAGCTTTATCAATAGCTGTTCCTGTCCAGAGGTTATGTTTTAGTTTGAAGTGATTTTGTTCAGGTTGTAATTCCAGCTTTGATGTGAATTACCTTAACTCCTTTTTCATTCAGTCAAGTAATAATACTATTAATGAGTTTTCTGTCTCTGTTCATGCTAGTCTTTTTGTCGTAAAATCTGAAGGATGTTGATGTCTTCTCAAGTCAAAGGTTTTGGCTCAATCCGTGGCTCTAATACCTTGACTTTTTTTTTTTTTTTAACAACATGTTTATGCATTTATATTTGTAGCTCCATTAGATTTTTGAAAAGCTGGGAGCCTAGTGAAAGGTGGATCATAAATAGGATGGACTTGTGTCAACCTGGCAAGTGATATTTCTGAGTCCTAAAACAACTGGCCAAGTAAGTTATGATGGCTCCCAGTAGGTAGCATCCTTTAGGTTCTCTGGGAGGGGGAATGGTGACAGAGCAGCAGTGGGAGCAGGAAGGAGCTGCCCACCTCTTGACAAGCTTACTATAGAACAGCAGATACGGAAAATTTTCCAGACCCTCATTACAGATAGAGGTTGGGTGGCTGCTATCCTTCAGTGGGGGCTGACATAGTCCAGTATAAGGGTCTCTGTCTACTAGGGTTGGTGTTTGGCACTCTGGATGGTCACCTCCAATACCTACAAGGGTCATCTGTCTTACTAAGTGGCCTCCGGCATTACCCTCTAACACAGCAGCTGTAAATAATTTATTGGCTACGGGAGAGATGCTGGTATTTCAGTAGATGGCAGTAAAAGCCAAGCTGACCACGAGCAAGTCCCAAGTGCTCTGTATGCATCTTTGCTGTATTGCTTTTTCCAAGTCAACAATGTCAGAACTCAGAGATGGCTTTGGCTATTCATTGGATAGCTTTTATTTCTAGATGACCTTATTTCCTCTAAGCTCTCCTAATTACTTTAAAAGGTAACTATAGTGTCAAAACATTTATGTAGACAGTGTAAGACAGATACATGGTATCTAATTAGTAATTACTTGAGTAATTACTCTAATATCAGCCGGAAAAAATACATGATTCAAAAATTTGTGATTAATCTTGAAGTGCAGGGACTTACTTCATAATTAAAACGATAAATTCACTTCCTTAACTAGCCATACTACTACAGCTTGAGATTTGCAGTGTAAGCTTGGTTAAGAGCTGTTCTACAAAGGATCAGACATCCTGTCTCATTTTTTTAGAGCATGTTCACTGTTTGCCTGGCTTATCCAGAAATTATCACTTATGTTTTGACTTTGTTTATATTCCCTTTTGCCCTGGAATACTAAAGTGACCCATGAAACTTATGTTACTTAAGGATTTAAAGGCTAAGTTAGATGCACAAGCTCTTACCCGTTTAATCCTACAAGAAGATGAATTCATGGTTTTGCAGTAACAAAAATGTAGCCCTATTGCAACAACATATTCATTGCCAGGATTTCACTCATTCCACTGTTCCAATCTGGGAGAAAAAAACAATTTCAGAACTATCTAAATATAAAAGCAATGGTTGTAGAGGAAGCCACCATTTCCCAAACAAAAACAAAGAAGGATTTGCCTAGTACTGGAACTAACAGGAAATGCAGCTGCCTGAAAATTTTATATTTCCTATTAGCAAACATTTTATGTAACTTTATTAAAAAAAAAAAGGTGAAACATTTAGTGATGTTGGCATTCACAGAATTGTAATAGACTTAGCTACTCATTTTCCATTTCTGCTGTTGATGTTTTAAAACATGACAAACATTTCAGTCTTCAGAGGCTTTTATGGTTTGTTACCTCCATTCTTTTGGAAACTCCATTCACACAATTGCATATCTAGCTGCATACCTTGGATCCAAGCAACTTCATACTTTTCAATTCTTTAACTGGTTACAGGAACAAAACCAAGTTGGATGACAAGGCAAACATCCCTCAAGAAAGGAATTCACAAGGTTTCAGGATGTCAAGCTCAGGGTTACAGCACATCACTGCTCTTTCAAATAATTTTACAGCAGAAAGTACTTGCTATCAAATCAAATTCTTTAATACAGGAAAGAAGAGAGAAACCATGCACCCGTGGTATACTTGTAACACTTGTCTAGATTCATAAAGACATGTCTTGTTTCAAGGCACCTTGCCACTACTACTCGGTAAGAAACTGTCAAGTGAGTTTAGACCCAATTATAATGTTATTTTTAATTATGCAAGTATTCTTGCACATCTTAGTCCAATAGCATCAGAAAAGGAAAAGCAAAATGGTGACATTAATGGTGTTCCTTTTTGTCGTGGTTTAGGCCAAATCAGCTACTGGGTGCCTGGGGGACCCTAGATGGGACCGACAGATGCTCCCCTCTACCCCTCTTCAAAGAGAGAGGCAGAGGGGGAAAAAGAGACTTACGAGTTTAGAAGAAACTGAACTACTTAAATGGAATATTAATAATAAAATAAAAAGAAATAATGAAATATATACAAAACCGTATCAAGCTCCCGAGATGACAATCATGACACTGGCTGGCACTGGGGCAGTCCTAGGCTGGACTTGGTGACGGATGGGAACTGTATTCCAGATCTGCATTCAGGATCAGGATCAAAGGCAGACGAACAGAGTCCTCAGATGTTGGCCATTGAAGGAGGAGCCTGCTGACCCTTTGATCCTCAGCCTTTATACTGAGCAGATGGGATGGAATACACTGTTGGTCAGTTTTGGGTCACCTGTCCTGTCCGTTCCTCCCTGCAGGTGGCACCCCACTGTGCTTTTCCGCTTCCGACCCTCCAACGGGGCAAATAACAAAGTTGGTTGGCCTTGGTTGTTACAGCAATAAGTATATGCAAGAGCCTCTCTGCATACCGTGCCTGGACATCAACTTTAAACATAGGTCTTGCCACTCTGAGAGAGAGAACGTTGTCTGCACAATATGCTGTTAATTTCAGTAGTTAGAGAGGCCTAGCTAAGAAGCAAAGTTACTGACCAAAATTGGTTCTGTTTTACCTCAAAACAGGACATTCCACCCCTTATTCCATACCATTTGCATGTTGCTCGGGTTACTATTACTTTCATCTATCAAATCTACACACACATAGATTATATATATAATATGGACACATGCAGGTCACTCATCTACGGTTTATGTTTATATACAAAAGGTTAAGTCCACTTAGTTCATGGATCGCAGCATCTCATCTCAGGGCAGGAAAGATAGTATGAAATTCATTGTGGTTTGTGCCCATGGGTAGCATGTTCATCTTGAAGAGCTTGCTGGATGCTACTTGATGAAGGTAGCTCAGGTTTCATCACCACTGTGTTATTCTGAAAAACATATACGGAACACTTCGTATTATGTAGTGATCAGTATCATACAGCTCAGGATTGAGTATTCTCACCAAGGGTTAAATTCCCTTGGGGTACACATTGCACTTCTCCTTTCTGCAGCATCACCCACCAAGTACGTCCACGTCCTTGGGCAAAAACAGTCCCATGAGTGGGTTTGCTTTTGCCTGAAGCAGGAAAAACCCAAACAGTTTTCCCTAACAAATTCCTTTCGTGCACCACAGGGACTTTATCCCCTTCCACAGTATGTAAAAGGTCTGACTGAGGAGGACCAGCTCGATTGATGGACCCCCTGGTGTTAACTAACCAGGTGGCTTGCTCTAAATGCTTGTCCCAATTTTTAAAGGTTCCACCTCCTATAGCTTTTAGGGTGGTTTTTAACAGTCCATTGTATTGCTCAGTCTTCCCAAAGGCTGGTGCATGATAGGGGATATGATATATCCACTCAATGCCATGTTCTTTTGCCCAATTACTTAGAAGATTGTTTTTAAAATGAGTCCCATTGTCTGACTCAATTCTCTCTGGAGTACCATGTCACCACAAGACTTGCTTTGCAAGGCCCAGGATGGTATTCCAGGCAGTGGCACGAGGTATGGCATAGGTTTCCAACCATCCGGTGCTTGCTTCCACCATTGCAAGCACATAGAGCTTACCTTGGCGAGTTTGAGGAAGTGTGATGTAATCAATTTGCCAGGCTTCCCCATACTTATATTTCAGCCATCGTCCCCCATACCACAAAGGTTTTAACCATTTAGCTTGCTTGATTTCGGTGCATGTTTCACAGTCGTGGATAACCTGCGCAATAGCATCCATGGTTAAATCCACCCCTCGGTCACGGGCCCATTTATATGTTGCATCCCTTCCTTGATGACCTGAAGTGTCATGGGCCCACCGAGCTAAGAATAGTTCACCTTTATGTTCCCAGTCCAAGTCTGTCTGGAAAATTTTA